TTCTACTGTCACATGTAAGAAAGAATTCTGCTTTTTAAATCACTGAAAATAAAAATGACGAAATAAAATTACTACAAAATTTACATTAAAAATAAAACTGATGGATAAATAAATGTAAGTAAATATTTACCCAACCTCAACACTAAGGCTCGATGTGACACAAGGTCGTTTTAACGTGGAGAGCGTCATACACATACATAAAGGCCAAAGACAAAAAATTTTTTTTGTCCAGCTTCCGCAATCACTGTCATGCTGGCATCAGTATGACACCGACCCAACCTCTTTAGGAAGGTGCAGCCACAGGGTTGGAATCCCCAAGGACAAGCAACTTCTCTCAATGCGAAGAATCATAGCCCCACTTACATCACGGGGGGAAGGGAAGGGGATCACTATGCCACAGTAAACCCTCATTGGCAATGGTTAACTCCTGTGTCAGATGTAAGTAATTTTGCAATTGCGTAAGTAATATTTTGCTGCATGAGTAATCTATGATTTTCATGTACATAATTAACTTATGTCACAGGCAAAAAATAATTTTTTTAATCATTTCACCCCAAACAAGACAATAGAGTCACTAAGATGCAAGGGATTAGTGAGAGCGAAAGAATAAAAAAACACAGGTTTCAAGGAAACAGAAGATGGTCGTTGGTATTGCATTAAAATTTTTGAAGATCATAGTAGACAGGAAAGCAAGAAGTCAGAAGAGGGACCCACAAAAAGTGCAAGAGAAGAAAATATTAGCATAGAAATTAGAGTCATGACTAGTGAAATTATGAGACCAAACTGTCAATCTAGTTCATGATGTTGAATTACCAATGAAAAAAAACTTATCCCAACAATAACAATGAAAATACTTATAGAGGAGACAAAGAGAAGCTAGTTACGGGGGTGAATAAGTGACTAAGCCCGAGATGACAGGTCATGACCGATAAAACTGTTTATTATTATTTGGATTTTGTCAAGAATTTCTAGATATATAGCAGTGGAACCAGACCAGATGTAGCAGATATATTCAATACACAGACGAATAGTAGACTTATAAATGAGCAATTTTGATATCATCCAAAGTAAAAAAAAATAAATAAATAAATAGCCAAGAAACTATCTAAAAGCAATTAAAAAAAAAGCAGTTAATAAGCAACCTAATTTCCCCTATTCACTATGAGATATTCTGTTTTATTGTTATATCTCGTGCAAGATATAATAAACAAAGTAAACCAGAGTGTTGGTTTTCAATAATAATTTTATAATCGGATGTAGGTGTGTTAATACAGAGACAGAGTCGGAAGTATGCTAACCTCAATAGGTGTTAACAAACGAAGACTCTTTTGACTGTCTGCTGTGGTCGTACTTAATCGGCAACCAGTCCGTCCGTTATCGTGAATGGGGAAGTTGGGTTATATCATCACAACATTTATGATAACACAAGTCATGCTCACTTACTGGTACAGAATATTACCTTCTGTTATGTCTCAGTAAGTAAAGGAGATCAGGTTATGTTATAGAGTCACATTGTGTTGTATTTTATAGACTATATTATTTCTATAAGTGAAATTAACTTTTATCTCCTCCAATATGGTAGAAGCTAAAAACATGAAACATTAAGCAATATCCTTTTATATAACTAACTTAAGTTTACATTCTGCACAGAAATGTATGACAAAGTGAAAAAAGATTTTTGTACGATGCATTTTAAAAGAAAAAAAAAATTATATTCCCAGTATCCCTCGTTCATTTGCATGTGCAGTTGTACCAACATAACAAAATTTAGTCCAATGAAGTCCTAAAGGACAAACACATCACACAAAAACTTTTTTCCACTTTGTCATACATCCATCCCCAATATTGTTCTTAATATATAAAAATTTATATATCATTATCTCATCATTTTATAAAAAATATCAATGGACTACTGTTGTCAATTTTCATGAATAAAAAAAATGTATAAATCCTCTTTTTAAAATTCTAATCATCGCTTTTAAGACAAATATTGACGAGGGATTCAAAAGCAGTAACAAAGGAATAACCACCATTTTGACACAGATTTTTTTTTTTTTGTTACCAAAATATTTTTATCTAATTAATTTCTTTTTTTTCAGTTGGTTCACAGTATAAATTAGATATATTTCTGAGTTGAGTGTGGAGTCGTCCTGTCTGTCATCAAATAACATTGCAGTGTATGGTACAAACAAGCTAGACATATCTGAACAAGTTTCCTTCTTATCTGTGGATTACATGATTATCTGCAATCTTATCCATAGCAAATAATGAGATCCTACTGTGTATAAAAATCAATTTAAAATTTGCAGTCAACTGTTTTGTAAATTCATCTTTTCTGTTGAAAATTAAAAAATGCACACATGAATATGTTTATTCCAATAAATTTTATGTAAATTTTAACAGTAATGTTTATTTATCAAAGATACAAGTAGCAAGTGCTTTGAGGCTGAAAGAGATTTAATTTTAAACATTTTGAAAATATTATTTTTTTGCCGTTATAACTGCAAGTTATAGAATTTAAGAATGTGAATAATTTAATAAAATAAACGGAATTAAATTATTTCAAACCGCCGGCACACTGACATATTTATTTAACTTCTTTTTTGGGGGAGGTACCTGACTAAATATAAAGTATATACACTAGCAATGATGAAAACACATACGGACATACAAAAACATTTTGAGTCTAACCACTTTGATAAAAATCACTAGTCTGAAAAAGTTCCTTCTAGGAACAAGACAAAACTTACGAATCTCTGACATTTGATTTTATATATATAGATACTGTATGGGCGCATGGCCAAGTGGTTAGAACGTTCACTTTCTGACCATGTGACCTAGGTTTGAATTTGACCATAGTAAGCGGACTTCCTGATGTTATCGGAATGGATCAAGGTCGATCCCAGCGTGTGACACCATGGGAAAGTGCCTAAAAACCATATCACAGGTTGACCCAAGCCTTGTGAGTGAAATTGGGTAGATGGAACTCTTGAGGGCCGTCGATAGCTGTGCTAGCACAAAGCCACAAGTCATTGTGGCCGAGGGCTTGAGCGTGCTGGCCTTGTTCAAATTGTTCATCATGCTAGATAACACACACTTTCCCAGAACCTGTAACTAAGGTTTGCTCAGCATAGTTGCAGTATAAACCACAGGTGTGCTCTGTGTTGAACAAACACAAATGTGCCTGAGCAAGCGTCTGCAATAAGGATTGGCATAGCCACCCTAATAGACGGGTATCCTCGAATACGAGTGGCCTATCTATATGTCTACTTATTTTTATATTTATTCTTTCAAGATTTCTAATTAGTTTCTTGATATTGAGATGAACAGTTCAATTTCAGTTTTTTTTGTTCCAGCTATTGCATTGTTTATAAAGATGACAGTTAGGTCCAAGGTTAAGCAATTATTTTTGGTGCTCTCTTTGTGTTTAGAGATGTTAATGAATTTATGCCTAAATATGCATATTTTAAATTACATGATCCAGCAGTTCATCACAATATCAACACTTCGCAATTACAGTGTAAGCTTGTGAAAAAGCAGATCATAATCACAAATGACAACTTAAAAACTCTCAATAAAAAAGCAAAGGATATCCACAACAGACTTTAACTCTTAACAACTCCTGAATAGATTAATGAAATTCTACATAGACTTGCAGAAATCACCAATAAATCAGAAATTCAAAACCGTCTTGTGTAGATGAGAACAGAATTATCTGCCCCTGCGAAACAAGCTGGGACAGAGTTACCTGCCCTTGGTAATAGTATATAAAGCGGACCGGTGAACACAGCCGGGGTGTTTTACTGACATACAGTACCGGACGTACTCGTCACACTTTACACGTCTGAACATTAAAGAAAAATTAATACATGAAAAGATCTATTCATCTCCCAAGAAATAAAGATAAATTCATTAACATTTCTTTGAATTAACAGAACACCAAAAGAGTAATTGTTCAACCTTGGACCTACCAGTGATCTTTATAAACGATGCAATAGCTAGAACAAAAAAAATAGAAATTGATATGTTCATCTCAATATCAAGAAACTAATTAGACATTTTGAAAGGATCAATAAAGAAATAAGTAGACACAATATGTCTATAATATTATTAAACAAAACATGTTTAAATAAAAATATGCTGCCTAAATATACATACATATATTATTTATTATAAGTTATTACATTAGAACATTTAAGTTATCACTACAAAAATGCAATTTTGTTTGGATACCAAATTCGGACATCTCATCAGTTGGTGGTTAAAGATAGTTATAAATGATTTTTTTTTTTTTTAATGCTAGTTATTAAACATCACTTTTATATTTTAAAATATAAAAGAAGTGATGTTTCATAACTAGCATTTAAAAAAAATGATTTATAACTATCTTTAACCACCACCTTATTAAAATATAAAAGAAGTGATGTTTCATAACTAGCATTTAAAAAATGTCATTTATAACTATCTTTAACTACCACCTGATGAGATGTCCGAATTTGGCATCGAAACAAAATTGCATTTTTGTAGTGATAACTTAAATGTTCTAATGTAATAACTTATAATAAATAATTATTGCTCTACTTTTGTATTGAGCTCTCTTTTAATTTAATATTATGAACGTTTGAATTTATATTAGTTTCATTCTATTTACATTTGGATCTGGGTGTGAGTGTGTGTTTGTAGGATGTATAAGAGTATCTGAAACAAAAGTGAAAATAGGACAAAGTGGAAAATTTATTAATGACACGTTTCACCAAGGAGAGAAGACCGCTTTTGGTGAAACGCATTCATAAATTTTTCACTTTGTCTCATCATCTATGTATATCCATATATAGGAGAATAAATCCACCAAAATGAACACAGTGCTCATAGCTCAGACCAGAAAATCCCCCCCCCCACCAAAAAAACACCAACCCTAAAAAGAGCAGGAAAGTAACACAAAAGTGAAGAGATGCAGAACTTTGCTGTGTCTATTACTTTTAAATGCAAAGGTTCCGTGCCTATTCATTCACTTTTGGTACAGACTGACATAGATAGATAGATAGATAGATAGATAGATAGATAATGAACAGACTGACATAGATAGATAGATAGATAGATAGATAATGAACAGACTGACATAGATAGATAGATAGATAGAGATAGATAGATAGATAGATAATGAACAGACTGACATAGATAGATAGATAGATAGATAGATAGATAGATAGATAGATAATGAACAGACTGACATAGATAGATAGATAGATAGATAGATAGATAGATAGATAGATAGATAGATAGATAGATAGATAGATAGATAATGAACAGACTGACATAGATAGATAGATAGATAATGAACAGACTGACATAGGTAGATAGATAGATAATGAACAGACTGACATAGGTAGATAGATAGATAATGAACAGACTGACATAGGTAGATAGATAGATAGATAGATAATGAACAGACTGACATAGGTAGATAGATAGATAGATAGATAATGAACAGACTGACATAGGTAGATAGATAGATAGATAATGAACAGACTGACATAGGTAGATAGATAGATAGATAGATAGATAATGAACAGACTGACATAGGTAGATAGATAGATAGATAGATAGATAATGAACAGACTGACATAGGTAGATAGATAGATAGATAGATAGATAATGAACAGACTGACATAGGTAGATAGATAGATAGATAGAATAGATAATGAACAGACTGACATACAGGTAGATAGATAGATAGAGATATGATAGATAATGAACAGACTGACATAGGTAGATAGATAGATAGATAGATAGATAGATAGATAGATAATGAACAGACTGACATAGGTAGATAGATAGATAGATAGATAGATAGATAATGAACAGACTGACATAGGTAGATAGATAGATAGATAGATAGATAGATAATGAACAGACTGACATAGGTAGATAGATAGATAGATAGATAATGAAGATAATGACAAGGTAGATATAGATAGATAGATGATCAGATAGATAGATAGATAGATAGATAGATAATGAACAGACTGACATAGGTAGATAGATAGATAGATAGATAGATAATGAACAGACTGACATAGGTAGATAGATAGATAGATAGATAGATAATGAACAGACTGACATAGGTAGATAGATAGATAGATAGATGATGAATAGACTGATAGATACATAGATAATGAACAGACTGACATAGATAGATAGATAGATAGATAGATAGAACAGATGACATAGAAGATAGATAGATAGATAGATAAATGAACAGATGATAGATAGATAGATAGATAGATAGATAGATAATGAACAGACTGACATAGGTAGATAGATAGATAGATAGATACATAGATAGATAGATAGATAGATAGATTATATATATCAAGCAAGATCCAAACAGTGCCTTCAAGTGAAATCCTTCTTGTCATCGATTTCTTACAAGGAATCAGTAACAATCGAGATATATATATCTATATATGGGAGGTACGGTGGTGGAATAATAGATAAGCGGCTCAGATTGAGGAATTGGAGAGCCAAATTCGAATTCCAGTCGAATCTATTACATTCACTATATACCCTTGGGAGAGGTATGAATCCTCTTCTTCTCCCTCCAGCTATGGGTAAATAGAAAGACAGGTTGGGTTCTATAGCCTTGGATGGCAACTGGCCTAGGAAGACAACTCTGAATTCAAAAGCCTGCAGAGTGTCGCTTGGGGACCTTGTGGCACACGGTGCACCAGGTCTCTGTATTCGGCTCTTCAAGAAGTGTGGTTGGTTCTGCACAAAGCCTTCACCACTATAATCAAATCATATGCACAGGTTGTCTGGCTGCCAGTTCCTAGGAACTGTGTTGCCTGACCCTCATATATCATAAAAGGGTCCCCAGTAGGCGCAGGTCAACAGCCTGCATCAATCAATGACGTGAGAGTCTATGATATATATATATATATACCTCCAAATATTCGCTAAAAATGAGCATGGATGATGAAAAAAATGACCCAAAATTTAATAAAAATATAGTTTTATTGTGAAAATCATTATGTTATTATTAAGAACAAAGTCTAAAGGATTTTTTTGATTATTAAATTATATTTTTTATTCCTTTTTAGAACCTTCTAAATTCGAGTTAAAAATTTTGTTTTTCTTGCATCAGTGTCATATTATGAAAAATTTGAATGTCTTTTTGCAGTGCAAAACATTGATTTGGAAATTCTTCCAAAATTCAGATAATTATTGGATTTTAATAAATTTTCAGGACTTATTCACAAATGAATGAAATTATTTTTGAAACATTTCTTTTTTAGAAAATCTTGGTAAAAATATATTTTTTACATATTACCCACCCCACAACACACACACACACACAGAGACATAAATACATTTACTTAATTTTATGAAATTTAAAGAAATTCATTTTCATAGAGCATAGTGTTTATATTAATTATAACCTTCAAAAATTTAAACCACAATATTTTTCTTACCAAATATCTGCTCTGGGTAGTAAAAAAAAGATGCAATAAAACTAAAACATTACTTAATTCTTCTTTTATGTGCTGTGCTTCAGGACATAGGCAATCATGGCTCTCCACTTCTCCCATTTCTTGTAGCTATCAATAAGTTTTGTCCTTTTGCTACTTCTCCCAGACTGTTCTGTCATTCACTTGCTTAAGCCCGTTTCTCTTTCCCTTTATCTGCCCTGTGAGTATCAGATTCTCCAAGCACTCCTTTCTCATTAAGTGTCCCAGAAATTTCAGCTGCATCTTCCTGATATTAAGTATTAACTTTCTCCTTGTTTCCATCCTCACCAAAACCTCATCGTTGTTCAAATCCTCAGTCCATAATATCCTTAGTATCCTTCTGTAGAAACTCCGATGCCTCAAATTTCTTCTACATCTTTGAGAAGACCGTCCAACATTTGCTGCCATAAAGGAGGATAGATATCATGTAGCAGTTCAGTACTCTTTTCTATATTACCAAAGAAATCCTCATGTCTTGTAATATTCTACTTAGCTTTAAGAATGCGTCTTTGGCCATCTCAATATGTCTTCGGATCTCAGTGTCAGAACTCTTCCCAGATATTTAAATTTCTGCGCCTGCTTGATTTTAGTGCCCCCAACCTGTAAATCGCATTTCAGTCTTATCCTTTTACTGATGTTCATGCATTGTCTTGTACTTTATGCTTAGTCCCTTCTTCTTGCCCTCCTTCACTACCTTCTGTAAGAGGTTTTGTAATTTCTTTTCTGTGCCTGCTATCAGCACTGTATCATCTGTGTATCTTATGTTGTTAAGATTGTGGCTACCAATGATGAATCCTGGTAGGATTTTCAATTCTCTCAGAATTGCCTCACTGTATAGGTTGACTAAGTCTGGTAAGAAGATACATCCTTGCCTTACGTCCATTTCTATTTATGCATATCTGCTGAACTCATTCTCTATCCATATGCAGGCAATTTGCTGCCAGTATAGGTTCTTGATTATTCTAATATCTTTCACAAATATATCAAGTTTACTGAGCAATTCCAACCGATCTTTGCAGCATAGCTTGTCGAACACCTTTGCATAGTCTATAAAACATAGGTACATGTTCTTCTGCATTTGCATCGCTCTTTATAACATTCTGAGTATGAATATTGTTCCTTGTTCTGGTGTCTTTAACAAACCTGAATTAGAAAAGATTTAATTACTTTTACAAATAAGATGTATTTTGGACACTATTGCCTTAAGAAAAAAAAAATTCAATGAATAATGAAAAAAAAACATTTTGACACTCCATTTTTTTTGCAGGCACAAAGGTCCATATTTGCCAATATTTTAATTCTAATAATCTATAAAGTTTTAAAGCTTTTAAAATTTTGCATTTTGGCCCCACTCTATTCCTTATTTTCATCAACAACCTTCCTGATGCCATAGATTCCCAAGTTGGCATCTACGCGGACGACACTACAATTTACTCCTGCCTCAAAAACAAATCTAGTGTCGCTGACAAAACTAACCTGGCCGTGCGTCTTGAAATGGACCTCCAATCGCTTGTTAATTGGGGCAAGAAGTGGCTGGTCAACTTTAACGCCTCAAAAACTAAACTACTCTCTATTAATCACCATAGAGATCCTTGCCTGCCCCCCATTAGAATGTCTGATAGTCAACTTCTTGAGAGCAACTCCCTGCGTCTGCTCGGTCTCACATTGATTGCTGACCTGAGATGGAACAAATACATTGAGTCAATTGCTTCTTCCACCATGAGGAAAGTTGGCTCTCTGTGCCGTGCCAGGAAATTTTTCTCCCCAGAATCGATACTTCAAATATACAAAACAACCATTCGCCCTTGCATGGAGTATTGCTGCCATATATGGGCTGGAGCACCTTCTGCTTACCTCGGAGTTCTTGACAAGATCCAGAGACGGATATATAATATAATTGGCTCTGATCTGGCATCTCGTCTACAGTCACTCTCTCACAGATGTGCTGTCGCCCCTCTCTGTCTTTTCTACAAATACTTTCATGGTAATTGCTCCGATGAGCTGTTTTAACTGGTTCCCAGACTCCATGAATTCATCCCGCTCACACCCTTACACGGTAGAAACTTTTAAATGTAACCGTCTATTCTACTCCAATAGCTTCATACCTCGCACCACTCACCTGTGGAACACCCTTCCCAATTACTGTTTCCCTGAGAGCTATAATCTCCAACTATTCAAATGTAATGTCAATCGACATCTCCAGTTGCCTTGATCTATCCACTGTCCTTCTCCTCATCCTTTCTTCTATCACTCCTATCTGATCTTGCTCCAAATCTTCTGCAACTCCTCTGCATCCTAGTGGCTTCATGCCTTGCTCGGGGCGTAATGCTTAAAAAAAAAAATTGTAGCAGTCAGGTGATGTTATTAAATTAAGATTGTCCTATATTTTCTAATCATGAATGGAAAAGCTTATCGTAGTATTTTAAAAAGAATTTTGAATTTGTGTGTGTGTTTGTGTGTATAAATGTGCCGACTTTTGTGAATATAGATGTTGATACACAACATTACAAGAAAAAAAGAGCGATAACTATAGTAAATTTAAAATTTATTGGTAATTTTCTAACATTTCCTCAACACATGTCTTTGTAAGTAAGACTATAAAGCCAAAGTACCTAAAATTCAATAAAATATTACATAGAATAGTTGCTTATTTTTTAAAGATTACTGGGTAGTTAACAAATTATATATAAAAAAAAAAGAAAAAACTCACGTTATATTCAAGTAATTTTTACAGTTATGTCCCAAGTAGAACAAATTCCTAAACATAAGTCTATCAAGATAGTTTTTAACAACTCATAGAAACACCCACCTCCATGTAAAAAATGCTTTTCAGTGATTTTTTTTCTAAAAGTAATATTTGCTTCAAATCAGATTAATTAAATTTTAAATCAGCTACTTTGCCTTAAATAAAGTTTCAGTAAAGTATATTTTATTTTTGAAAGATTTTTTTAATAAATAGTATCATAGTGTTGAGACCTTTGCTAATATGGCTGATTTTAAGCAATTTTAATGATTAAAAAAATAATTTCAATCAATTTCAATTCTGTTTGAACTACAGCAAAGTGTTTTGTTTATTGGGCATATTAAATTTAATATTTCAGTTTGAAATTAAAACTAAAATAAAAGCTTCAAGATTTTTCATTTTTGAAAATGCATTTTAAATCTTGGGTATTGCTTTTCTTTCGCAGTACCTATATATATATATATATATATATATATATATATATATATATATATGGAGTTGTTATTTTTTTTCTCTCAATTCTGTCAGAGTTGAATTCAATAAATGTAAAAAAAAAAATACAAGATTTGGAAAATTTACAACACGTGCATTCTGTTATAGGAATGTGTAGGAAAAAAGTAATTTCTGTGAGTTTTACAAGAGTGGTTAAAGGAAATGTACAATTACCTCCAATCCAATATCATGCAATTTTAAAAAAAAAATAAAAAAATAAAAAAAAAAGTAAAAAATTTGTGTTTTATCATCATTGCATAATGTTCATTCCTGTCTTCCAATCTAATAATTTAAGTTAGAGAAAGTAGATAGACTATTTTTTTAATTTGTCATAATTTCTTACTTTATTTGATTTCTCCCTTCTTCCACTGACTTCAAAACACGTCAAAGAACAGGAAAAAAATGAAAAAAAAATCATTATTACAATCATAAAAGAAAGGGAAAGATCTGTTCCGACAAAAGATCAATCATTTGAAAAAGCAAATGTATTAAAAAAACAAAAAAAAAAAAAAAAATCAGTCACTTTGTTGAATGACATTGATAAGAGAATACAGTTGCTGAGAAAAAAAAAAGGATTGTGTTTGTTTCGTTTTTTATTTTAATTACAAAAAAATGTTATGTCCATTTCTTTCTTACTTTCTCTCATCAAGGGGTGAGTATGTATAAGCATCTATATTGTGTGTGCATTTATATATACAGGGTGATAGAAAATTAACTCCCCATTTTAAAATACTTAACTATAATTTTTACAAGAAATGGATATTAAAAGAAAGTGTTCAGGATGAGGTTTTATTTAAAATTCAATATGGGCACCAGATTTCACCACCAGATTTCACTACCAGATTTCACCACCAGATTTCACTACCAGATTTCACTACCAGCTTCTCAAGCCACCCAGGACTTACATCTACTGATTTCACCAGGAACTCTTGGGGTATGGAAGATATAACTTGTTGTATTCACCCTTAAAGTTCTTCCAAAGTCTTGGTTTGCTATAGTAGACTTGCACCTTTAACCCCCCCCCCCCAAAAAAAAAGTCACAGGGTGTTAAAGTCAGGACTGCTGGCTGGTCACTCACACATGAAATAAGGAGTTACTTTTTAAATCACACACTTGGTGTGTGTGTGTGTGCATACAGAGCATATACACCCAGGAATGTACATAGATAATGAACAGACTGACATTAGGTAGATAGATAATGAACAGACTGACATTAGGTAGATAGATAATGAACAGAGATTAGGTAGATAGATAATGAACAGACTGACATTAGGTAGATAGATAATGAACAGACTGACATTAGGTAGATAGATAATGAACAGACTGGGACATTAGGTAGATAGATAATGAACAGACTGACATTAGGTATGATAGATAATGAACAGACTGACATTAGGTAGATAGATAATGAACAGACTGACATTAGGTAGATAGATAATGAACAGACTGACATTAGGTAGATAGATAATGAACAGACTGACATTAGGTAGATAGATAATGAACAACAGACTGACATTAGGTAGATAGATAATGAACAGACTGACATTAGGTAGATAGATAATGAACAGACTGACATTAGGTAGATAGATAATGAACAGACTGACATTAGGTAGATAGATAATGAACAGACTGACATTAGGTAGATAGATAATGAACAGATGACATTAGGTAGATAGATAATGAACAGACTGACATTAGGTAGATAGATAATGAACAGACTGACATTAGGTAGATAGATAATGAACAGACTGACATTAGGTAGATAGATAATGAACAGACTGACATTAGGTAGATAGATAATGAACAGACTGACATTAGGTAGATAGATAATGAACAGACTGACATTAGGTAGATAGATAATGAACTGAATAAGATAGCTTGCTGTTTTATTACTACTTCCATGGAAAGTGCTCAGACGAACTACATTCCTTGGTTCCTCCAATTTAAATCTTCATGACAAGGACACACTATACCACTTATATTGTAGCAAATCCCCCACATTCCCTCCATATTTCATTGGTGAGAAGTAAGTTCCACTCTAGCAGCTTCTTCCCACAAACTAATATTTCCCTGATCACTACAATCTTGACCTGTTCAAGGCTAGGGTTAACCGTTATCTTCCACTCCTACCCACATACTACTACACAAACATACAAATTGCCATGTAATGTCACGCACTATCACAAATGGTCCCCAGGCCTTGTAAAAGGTGAAACTTAAAAAAAAAAAAAAAAAAAAAAAAAGGAACGTTAGGGTGCAGCCTAAAAATTATCAAAAATGTACCTCCTAAAAAAAAAAAAAAAAAAGTTTAACATATGGGTGTGCACTCATGTGGGTGTATAGGAAAGAAACGCTGTTTCCAACACAATTACATATCCACATATGTACCATATTAAAATATACCAAAACTGTTTTCTACCCAATAACAGACAATATTTACAAACATGCCAAAAAAATTTCACAATACAAACACACCATTTAAACAAAGGTGTCTATGGGTTAAAAATCAACATCGCCGTGTGAAATATTTGACCAATCAGACCCTATTTTTCTCAAGCCTACTTTCGGAGAAAATTACTGATTTAAACCCCACAGATTTCAACTTTCAGATGAGAGACATTCAGTTGTCTCCAAGTTGTTCAAATACAAGAGATGTGGCTATAAAGCTTTATCCACAAACCACCCAAGCATGTGCTGAAAGAAACATGTTGCCGATGTCAAACAAATGATATCAACAACAGCAGATACAGTCAGTGAATCTTCACTGATGTTCAATGCTTTTTTTCAACTACATCTTTTTATTGTGGACAAATTACTTAAAAGTCTTTTATTAATCACAGCTTTTTTTACTGTGAACCAACTAATTAATTTCTTTTTATTCAACCATAAGCTTTGACTGTGGGCCAACTACTTAAATCTTTTTTCAACAGCAGCTTTTTACTGTGGACCGACTACTAAAAGTCCTTTGCGAACCACAGCCTTTTCTTTGGACCAACTACCCAAAGACTAACTCAGCTAAGAACTATTTTTGCTTCTTTCAAATTCGTTTACATATGTTTGTAAATACAAATGATTTATTTCACAGATATACACGTTTTCTTTATCTTTATTCTATTATTATTATTATTATTATTATTATTATTATATGGAATTTGAAGGTTCGAAACTTTAATATAAAAAAATCTAGACAAGAGAATTTCCTACACGTCTAACACTTCACACTGGACACAGATATCATATATTCAGATTAGAAGAGGAAGAAAATGACACTTTAATTCTTAGTAAAAATATGGATAACACATAAATAATTTTGTCACTTTTTAAACGTAACCCACATCACCAGAACTGTTTTGACCTGAAGGCACACTGCAAATCTGTGATTTTTCATCTTTAACATGGCTTCTTGTTTTTTAGCTCGGGTTCATTTGTGTTTTTTATTTCGACACCCACAGAGCCAACCTGTGATTTTCACTATAACTATGCTTACAGTTCAAGGTCACATAAAGTTTTGAATTCAGAATTGTTCTTTTCCTATACTAGTTATGAACCACATCTTGGGCATTCTGACCATGAGACTCAGGTTCAAATCTCACCATGGTCAATTTGTCAGGAAGGTGACTTCCTGATGTTATCAGACTGGGGAAACGGTCACAGTGTGTGACAACATTTGGAAGTTCCTGAAAACCATCATTGGGAAAGAGATTGGGCAGACAGAACTGTTAGAAAATTTGAGCTGACATGAAATCACAAGTCATCATGATCAAGGGTTTGAACACTTTGTACAAAATACAAGAGCCACTCAAGTTAGAAGGTTACAGAGTAAGAGGCACAATTTATGGGGATATGTGGGGAAGATAACAGTTTACCCTAGACTTGAACAGGTTTAGATTGTAGTGATCGGGGAAACATCCTCACAGGAATCTGTTCCATAAAGCGATTCGTGGGAAGAAGTTGCTCGACTGAAACTTCCTCTTTGTTACTGGAATATAAAGTGGCTTGGTGGGTCTTAGCCATGATAGTTAGAAATGGTAGAACTAAGGAATGTAGCTTGTCTGAACATTTTCCATGGAAATAGCGACAGAGCACTGAGACTTGTGATGTTTCGTCTATTGGAAAGGGATTGCAGGGTAGAAATATGGCAGTAGTAATCCATTTTCAGCCTGATCTGATTCTTGTAAAGTTAGAGGATAATAACAGAAGGAGTCAGATACTTACTGGTGCGGTACAGGGAACGAAACATTTTTCCAGCATATTTAGTGATGTACAAGTTTCATTTAATCGAAAACTATTGTTTATAGTGACTTGACCCAAAGAGTTGTGAGTTCAATACCTGGCTACTGTAGTGGTGAACAAAAACTTGAGAGTTGAATAAAAGGGAGATAACTGAGATATCCAGAAGAGGCATGGTACGTGGAACTAGAACACTCTACCCCGGTGAATGAAATAAAGGGTTCAGTTTGAAATTCTAATCATCTGAAGAAGGCTGGAGAGTACAACAGCTGAAACATCACGAATATGGCAATAAAGATGAGGACAACAGTTCAAAATGTAAAATATTGTTTTCTTACTGATTTACAATGGGGTTCCTATTTATAATATTGATACAATGTCAAATTGATCCTTCACTTTTACACTTCCTTATGCTAAGCCACTTAACTGTTATTTACAAATATATCATGCTTGAAAATCTGTCAAATATCTAGATATTTTCTTTAAATTGTAATTTTTAACCTTTTTTTCATTCTTTTCCCATTTTTTTGTATGATTTTTTCTTTCAGAACCACATCCAGAAACACTTATGGTGCGTAATTATTTATCTTCAATTTAAGAATGACTGGATATATAATTTTATTAATTTATGTACATTTTCGTTATTTTAAAATGTATATATCCATTTGTTCGTCCTTTAAAAAATCTTTTTGTAAACCCACCTCAAAATAAAAAAATGTCTGTTAGTGTTTTCAAAACAGCTTAAAGTTGAATAACTTTTTAAAAGTCAGGGATCGATTTTACACTGTATAGATATTATAAACAGGACCCCCTTTATAAATTGAAAAAAAAAAAATATTTTTTTTATTCTGACAAGTGTTGCAGCCAAAGGAAGATCTAGACAAAGAATGCTAAGCTGTAACAGAAATTATTTCCCCTACCAAAGTTTCCCTATTTTTTATAGACTAGTATATTTAAGTGGACCCACTTAAACATTGGCCCATGAGAGAGACAGACAGAGAGAGAAAGAGACTGATCGACACAATATGAATAATCTATCTATAGTATGGCTATTTTAGAGGATATGATGGACAAACTGACAGAAGTCACAGAATTTTATAAAATTCTGCAACTTCCATCTATCTGTCTGTCACACCCTCTAAAATAGCTAAATATTGACCAATGAGAACCAAATTTTGGGGAGAAGTTCAAACAGGTAAGTAGCTACAAAGTAAAGTTGGTTTTACGAGGGTGTGTAGATTAGTACACTAAACTTTCTTTCATTTTGGGGGAAAAATTAAGTTTTATTATTATTTAGCATACAAAAATAAATTACTCCCACTATTTTAAAAATAGTTTAACCGCCAATACCAAACACTCTGAGGATTTCCACACATGTCAATAGAATAAATTTCTGTTTGCTTACTGGTAAAAGAAAGAAAGAAAAGAAAACAAAATAAAAATGATTAAATTTTATAGCAACGATAACGATTCATTTTAAAAAATTGAATCTTTTTCAAAATTCTCCTTTTTCTATGTGACCTTCAGGACGTTGGCGATCATGGCCCTCCACAATTTCCTATTCTTTGTAGTTAAGAAATTTTATCTTTCTGTCATTTCTCCTAAAAACTGTTCCACCATCCATTTACTCAAGCTCACTAGCTAAGTTATGCATTATTTTTCTGTCACTCTTTCCTTCATTATGTCCTGTGAGTATCAGATTTTCCAAGCTGTCTTTCCTCATGGTGTACCCTAGAAATATCAACTCTCTCTTTCTGATGTTAAGTGTAAGTGTCCTTTTTGTATCCATTTTCTCTAAAACTTCATGCTCGGTTCATGGTATTCTCAACATCCTTCTGTAGAACCACATTTCTGTTGCTTCAAGTCTCTGTGGGGAGATTATATAATATTCTCCGTGTAAAATCAGTTTATTTATCAACAAATAAGTTAAAAGTGCATTATTAGCTTTCAGTGCAGCAAAAATATTTTTTAAATATGTAGTCATGCGGTAAATTAGCAATTTATAAAAAACAAAATAGACATTCTATTTGCAAAATAATTTCCTCACAAATGGAAAGGATTCTTGAGGTGGTTCAACAGAAAGAAGTTGGGAATAACATGGATGAAGGAAGTTTTAAGCTAAAATGGAAACAAAACAGATGCTTCCACAGATAATCTGAAAGAGGTAGTTGAAATTTCTGGGACTCGTAATGAGGAAAGAGGGTTTGGAGAATTTGACACCCACAGGACATAATGAATGAAAGAGGGAAACAGCGAATATCCTATCTAACAAGTTTGTATTAATGGATGGCAGAAAAGACTAGGAGGGATATTAAGGAGACAAACATTGCTTATACTATACCTCCAAAAGATAGGAAGTCGTGGAGAGCGTGATCTCCCACCTTCTGAAGTAAATGACACATAAAAGAAAGAGGTATTTCTATTTCCAATAAAATTATAACTTGTGCGAAATGCATAAGATGTTGAACGCTAAATGGATGTTATGCATGGTGCTGAACCTTTTCCTGTCAGCTGGATACAACTGCTTCCTAAGATCAATGGTTAAAAGAGGCTTTGAGCAAGTGGAGCCCGGTGGTCTTGGCAGAAGTCATCATTCTTTGAACATTATCAAATGGCACTACAGATTTACAAAGAACTGTTACCAAATAACATAAACCACATCACTTGAGGACTTTCAACAGCAGCAACAACTAAAATGGATAGGACATGTAACTCAAAGAAAATATATAAGTAATATCCTGACATTCCACACTACATCAAATAAAAGGTTAGGAAGGAAACCCCCATCAATACTGGAAAGAGCGATAAACACTAGCTACTCTTGAAAAGAAAAACATTTTCCTAAAAAAAAATTTTTTTTTTTTTTTTTTTTTGAGAGAAAGATTTTAATTTAAACTAAAAACAGTACTGTCTGCTCGGCCAATAAATGCCAAATGTTTCCTTGTAGGGAAATGGCTTTTAGTTTTATTACTTTACGAAAATCTCAAGAAGTTGGTGAAGTTTCTCTTTTCCGCGCGAAGGTTTTTTTTTTCTTTCTAGATTTTTTTTTCTTTGTATTTGTTTGGAGAATGGTAAATATAAAATAATTATACCACCAATTCTTGTTTGGTTAATGGAATGCTCTCGCCAGCTAGAATTAAAAAAACTGAACCGATCTGGCATTGATTGGAATGACTGACCAAAAAAAAAGTTGGTATAAAAAAAAAAAATTAATCAAACGTGAAGTGTTGTTTATTGTACGGAGGAACTTAAGTTATTTTGTTAGTTAACTCTTAATAAAGAGTACTATTTTCTTTTTATTATTGCTCGTCTGTTCCTCTCCGAAACACATTTTTAACAAAAAAAAAATCCAATTCCCTTTGCAAAGAGTAGAACAAGGAACAGATTTATTTAGTATAAATATCGGTTCCTTTAATGCAGCGATAATGTTGGCATTAGAAGCAAGCAGGGCGTGGAAGGTACTCAGCCGCGAAAAAGAGATCGATCGATCGATCGATCGGATCATTCACAAGAGAAAGCGAACAGACGTTTTTTGTTTCTCTAAAATTTCTTACCTGCTGGAGGTAATATCGCAGATTATTACTTATCTAAATATTTAGAAGATAAGTTTCTAAGTGGCAAGTTAGAATTACAGACGAGACAGGGAAAAACCAGGAAATTAAATTCATTTAAAAAAAAAAAAAAAAAAAAAAAAATAGACTCATTCCTGGAAAAACAGAAAAGAAATTGAAAGAAAAAAAGTGCAAGTCCTTCAAAACTGCCATGTGAAAAAAAAATGGCCTTTTTTATTTTTCATGGGGCAATTTTACATAAAGAATTAAATTATTGTAACTAAACAGAACTACACTGATACAGAAATTAAAAAAAACGATTTTTCCAATTTTTTATTTTATAGCTTCATTATTCACAAAAATTTAAAATCCAAACACTTAGTAAATTTCCGTTAAATTTTAAATAAATAATTTAATTATTTAAATTAATAAATATCAAATCGCTTCATAAAGAGTCTTTATTACAGACTAAAGAAAAACATTCAAAATTTGAAAAAGCATCAAAAAACGAACACGGAAATTTGTAAAAAAAATAAAATAAAATAAAAACATACTGCCATAATTGTTAAAAATGGCTACTATTCTATATGTTTTCATTTACATAAATGAAATGCCTAATTACTTGAAAATTAGTTTAAAAATGTAGCTTTAATCTGTCATAATATACCAAAATTGCTATTTTTTAGCTGTTGAAAGCCTTTTTATGTTGTGGTTTACGTTCGGGATTTTATGATGAACTTGAAAACAATACGGTGCACAGTAAAAATGGCACGGGTAAAAATAGGACAAAATAAGAAAAATGGCACAAAGCGAAGACATACAGGAAAAAAATGAAATGCACACGCTATTTATTCAGTAAATGCTGAAAAATAAATATCGAACCAGTAAAACTAACTCTTCAGTCATCAGTGACTAAGTCTATCACAACCCCATCATGGAAGTTATAACAAGTAATAAAGGAAAAGAGTAGATTTGCTTCCAAGGGTACACATACAAAAAAAAAATAGATTGCAAGATAAACACATCTCCATCTGATAGTAGTTAAGAGAATATCTTTTTGTAAAGGTACCATGATCACCAGCCTTGATACGACTGATCCTGTAGGAGTTAATAACAACCACAGCCACGCTCCTGATTATGCAGCTATTGCAAATTTTACCATTTTGTTGGTTATCAGCACCCATCTATCTGAAAACAAAACTGATAAGAATGATTCAGAAAGAAGAGCCTGTTGTGAGTGCGGTAATAATAGCAAGGGACTTCTTAGTTGGTGAACCACCAAGAAAGAAAACAAAGAAAATATATGTTAATCTACAACAAACACTAAAAAAATGATGCATTGAATACGCTACACAGAAGGAAGGAAAGATTTGGATCAAGTGTTGTTAGTTAAATAAAAGTTATTTTATTTGGTCACAATATAAGATTTTTAATTTTTTTTTTTTTGCTTTTGAATGTAGATATAATTTTTTTTCTTAATTTACTTAATAGATAACGTGTGTATTTCATTTTTTTCCTGTATGTTTTCGCTTTGTGCCATTTTTTTCTTGTGCCATTTACCTAAATTCAATACATAACTTCATAAAGAAAAAGTTAAGTTTTATTTTGGGTAAAGATACAGTTTTACAAATATTTTTCTAAGAAAATGTAGTTTCCCCGTCTAATTTGACTTTCTTTTTACATTATCGAAATGTCGTTTATTTGTTTAGAGAAAGCTGTTTATTTTCGAGAAATAAGTTGAAGAGAGTGCGGTTTGACTCTAAAAGTGGCGATTTGATGTTATAATGTCAAGCTGATCCCGGATTTTGAGTCCGTGGTTCGTGTGAACTGAACAGGAACTGTCCGTCTTCTTTTCGTCAAAAATCAACATGAACTGTTATTGTTTTTTTTTTTTTTCGATTTTTTTCTAATTTCATATATGTATTCTTATTTTTATTCAGTTACTTGCCGTTAATAGGGAAAGAATTTCTTATAGGAAAATAAAATTAGGTTTAGTTAAGTTGATTTTTAGCACATTATGAGCGTTGTTATTTCAACTTCTTTTTATTTGAACAAATTATCTATAAACAAAAAGTAAAAACAATTCTTTTTTTTTTTTTTTTGCTAGTCTTAAGTTAAATATTCTTATCTTGCGGACAGATTTATTTTTTATTAGCAGTAGAGCGTGGCGTTGCCCAGGGATGTAACAGTAAGAGATAGATCAAGTATCGACCATCATAAAGATTGAAAAATAAAATTGACAAAGATTATTGTTTAAGGTTGACGGACACGCATGTCTTAGTTTTTTTTTTTTGGGGGGGGGGGTTACGAATTGGTCAAACCCAAACAAAAACATTGTTTTCAATCGTTATGAGTCTACCGATTGAATAGAATTTTATTATAAACAATTGTCTTGTAAATGGAATTTTTAAAGCATTCTGAATGTAAAAATATAAAAAAAAGTGTGCAAGACAATAAGAAACACTACCTGCCAAAAAAAAAAGTGAAGTTTTGTTGAAATCGGTTGAAAAATGTAGGAAATCCGATCTCATATATAAACGAACACACACACACAAACAACCTGTGTTTTATAATAAGTATAACTCGATGTGAGTTGTCCCCCTTTCATTCTGACGACAGAATCGTGTTTTATCGTGTTTTCAAATTGATTTCGTGCAAAAACAATTGTGTTTTTCCAATTTTGGGTGATGTCAGAACCACCGCAAGATAATTTTACGTAGTCCTGTGAAGTTTTGTTGAAATCAGTTGAAAAATGTAGGAAATCCGATCCAATATATAAACGTACAGACACACACACACACACACAATCTGCGTTTTTATAATAAGTAAGATTCCCGTTGCAGTGGAGACTTCTGGGGTTATTGGCCCTCGTTCGACGGCGTTCCTTCAGAGGTTTGGTGAGATTGCGTCTCGATTAAGGGACGAGCCTCGCAAAACGGAGTGGCTCTTGTTACGTGTTTCACTGGCGATGGTCCGAGGTAATGCTTTCAACTTCTTAATCTTAAACTCAGTTTACACGTGTAAAAACTAAAAAGACAATAAAAAGAAGTTCTTGTTTGTAAAAGCAACATTCAGTTCAATGATTCCCGATAATAATGTACTCCAAAGTCCAAACTATAGGGAATTACTTTTCCATGCTGTCTAACATTTTCTCATGTCAGCCAACAATAAATAAATAACAAATTAACAATTATTGAATAAATAAATAACAATAGGGTCCAACTTAGCAGTAATTTTTACACTAAATGAAACTTTCTATATTATAATACTGGGTAGAAAGTCAGGATTCGGTTAAGAAGCATTTCAAAGACATAATCCACCATTTCTTCAGAACCGCTTCCTTCGCCTTCACCTTTAGTACCCCCACCATAAAAAAAACAATGATCATTTCCATAAAGGGTAGATCAAATTAAATTGGAAGAATATACTTCCATTGAAGAATAATTTCAGTTTAAGCGAATTTTGTTTTGTACACTTGATTTTTAATCAACAACATTCCTTCAAATTTGAAGACTTTTTTTTAAATTACCTAATTTTGTCTTTATTGAAAGCATTTTAAACAAGAATTCCAATATCACATCAAGTAGTCATTTTAAGGACACTTATACTTAAAATCAGAAAGAGTTGAAATTTCTAGGATATAATGATGAAAAAAAGTCTGTAGAATTTGACATTCCACAGGACTGAAGGCAAGAGGGACAGAGGAAAGCAGCGAATAATCTATATAACAAGCTCGTGTAAAATGGTAGAACAAGAATTAGGAGATGGCAAAAAAAATAAAATAAACCTTACTAAGGACAGGAAGTTGTGGAGAGCCATGATTCCCCACACTCTGATGGGACACGTTACATAGAAGTAGTAAATATCAGACTTGGCCAAAGCCATGGAGATGAAATATGCCGAAAATTTGTTCTGGGAAATATTAGTTGAGATTTCATTTTTTTTTTGTTTGTTTGTTTGTTTTATTCGTAAGAGAAAACGAAGAAGACTCAATCAATGTCAACAATTATTTACAATTACGAAGTGGATGTTGAAAAGTTCTCTTCCCAACCAGAGTAAGGGATTAAAACGAAGTCTAATGTAACCATAAGTTCTATGCTAATAACAGTTTCTTATTTTTCTTCTTGCCCTTCTTGCTTGCGAAACTCCATTCTGGCTCCATACTTTCCCGCCAACTTTAATCTTCAAAAATTTAAATGCAATGTCAATCACTATTTACTATCCTCTTGATTACTTTTCTCTCTTCCTGCTCATTATTAATTTTTTTGTTCCTAATTCTTTCACGCCCAGTAAACCTTTATGTCTTGGTGGCTTTTTACTGCCTTGCATGGGCTGATACCGATTAAAAAAATCATATGGTCAAATTATTAGCAAATGAGATCAGACCGAGAACTTTTCAAAATCCACGTCTACCCTAACGTACTTTCTGGTGTGGCTGCAGAATACAACTTATTATTTACCATGTTCTTTCAGAGCATATGTGATCATGGGCCCTCCCTCTACAACTTTTCTTTCTCTAATTCCCGCCCTTTTATCACCATCTTTTGATTAGTGGTCCTTGTTTTGCCATTCATACACAGTCTCGTTAGGTTAGTTTCGGTTTATCCCAACTTCTCTTCTTAGCTTTTTAAAAAAAAAAACCTTGTGAGTGTTAAAATCCTCAAGCGTTCTTTTCTTGTTATATAACCCCAAAAAGTTTAACCTGTCTTATTGAAACACAAGACCTCACTCCAAGAAGGAAGAAGGAAAACTTTTGATTTTAAACGATTTATTTATTTATATAAATTATTATAATCAAAATAAAATTTTTAAAAAAAATAAATTCTTGTAAAACTTATTGAATTTTTTTTCTTAGTGTCCTTAATAAATCTTAAAAGCGATTAAAAAGCTTATCTAATTAAATAATGTCATAGATTGCTTTTTTATTTTACGATTCGGTGCAGAGTTTCGGGAAATGACAAGAAGTTTGAAAAGAAAAAAAATGATTTTCAACTCCAAGGAGGGCTGCTTTTTTTTTTCTCTAACAAATAAAATAAATCTTGAGATTGAAATTTAATTCTAACAGATATAAAAAAAATATTTTTTTAACCAAGATTTTCTTAAAAAATATTTTAAAAAATAATTTAATTCATTTGTGAATAAGTTATGGAAGTTTAAAATCCGACAATTATTTGATTTTTGCAAGAATTTCCAAATCGATGTTTTTTTGTTTTTTTAAAAAAAAAAAACCCAAAAAACAAGGCGCTAGAGACCGTTGACATAAGAAAAAAAAATAAAGATTTTTAATCAAAATTTCGAACATGCTAGAATTGAAAATAATTAAAAAATACTTTGTTCTTTCCTATTTTGACGATAAAACTTTGTTTTATTAAGTTTTGGGTCCTTTTTTCATCATGCTATGCTGGGGAGAGGGGTTGTTTTCTTTTTTCATCGAACAATAGTTCTTTTTATTTATTTGTTTGCACTGCATTTATTTAAAAACACTATTTGTCAATATTGTGATTTTCTAAGACGAAAATCCATGGCCCAGATTCACTGTAAACAAACACATGTAAAAAAAAAAAAAAAATGCAGGAAAATACTTAATAAATTTCAAACTTACTGCTCTTTTTTTTTCTTTCATTTTCAATGAATAAATTTAAATAATTTTAAAATTCCATATTAACAATTTCATTTATGGAATTGTACAAAGAAAGTATTGCGACCAGAAATAATCTTTTTTCCCAAATTACTGAAGCACTCACGTGTTGTAAAATAATTATTATTTTTTAAATTTTCTTAAAAAAAAAAAAAAAAAAAGTGGTTAATAATCGGAGGTTCAGTTTGTAGTAAATTTTATATGTTATCTAATTTCTATTGATAAGCATTCATTCCCGTGTTTAATATTATGATTAACTCGATAAAAGAAATCCAAATTTATTCATTTCTCTTCATATTTTTTTTTTATAATTTTAATTTAAGAAATCACATGGTGTGATTTTTGTTTTGATTTCCGTCGGGTAATCAATTTACAATGAATTTACACAACAAACCTATTATTAACTTTTACTTTTATAAAAACAAAAAAATTATATTCAGGATCTGGAGTGCTAGTTTTGAAAAAAATTTGAAGAAAATGATTATTTCTGTTTAGTGCCACTTCTTGTTCTTGTACAACTCAAAAAAAAGAAGTAAGAATAAAAGGCCAAAGTGAGAGTCATGTTTTTTTAGTTTGTTACTTATATTTATTAGGCTTTCTCCTTTGCTTTATGTTAGGGTGATTTATGAAAAAAAAATTGGCGATAGACAAACTTTGTAAAGAATTATTTATGTTTGTTTCAGAAACGATAACGAGAAAAAAAGAACAAAAAAAAAAAAAAAAAAAAAAAAAAAAAAAAACTGATCTTCAGTTTTTTAGTCCACTTCACGCAACTTTTAAACAAAACGAAAATGGAAATTCTTCCCCAAAACAACAGAACTAAAAATGCGTAATTAAATAAAAGTGATTCATTAAACATTGACTTTGAACTTTTTATTTTACTTATCTTCAATTAATTAAGTCAACTATTGTAAAAAAAAAAATTGTAAACGTAGGCTAAAGTCTAAAAGTCGCGGACAAGAACAGACTAAAAAAGTTTAAAAAAAAAAAAAAAAAAATGGGTCAATTTGTTGACCTTTTTTTAATATACTTTTTTGTGTATAAAAAACATCCGTTGGTTAACAACTTGTTAAAAAATACATTTTTCCGGAATTAATGATTCGTACACTGCGAATGACGAAGAAAAAAAATTCTAAATCTTCATGGTCTTTTCTTTTGTTTCCACACAAATTAACAATGAAACCTAAAAAACCCAGTTTAAAAAACTTTTCTCTCAGAAAATGAAACAGATTGAAAAAAAAAAAAAAAAAAGAACTACTGCTTCCAATCATAAAGGCGAAGGTTAACTTAAAAGAACCTGACTGGTATAACGATAGCATTAAGAAAATTAATATTTGTTAGTGTAAACTAAAAACACATCTCGAAAACCAGTTCAGTCGTAATGTGAGTTCGATCCTCATTTGGAGTCCCACATTTACATCATTCTGTCAGATGATGCTAAGCCGGGTAAATAACTAAAAAGAAGACTACTTTTTAGTTTCCTATCAAAGAAGAAAAACCGGTGTAAACTCTTTGCTTATAGTCAGTCTTGTTGTGCTTGTAAAATCCAGAAAGTACAAGAAGCACTTTTCCATTTAACAGTCATAAAAAAACGTTTTTCAATATTTTTAAATTTGTAAGGAAATATTTCTTCAACTGATTTTTTTTTATATTTACTTACTTTTACAACCATTCCAAAGAAATGAAAATGTGGTCATAATTTTCAAAACAAAGGCAAGGTTTCTTTCACAACTAAAGTCTTAAAATGACAAAAAAAAATTTAAGAAAGAATAAAAACAAACAAATTTTTTTTATTTTCATTATTTATGGAAACATTTTGCAAAGAAATTTCGATTCATAAATAAATATAAATTTCAGTAAAATTTTGACATAAAAAATATGGCATTAAAAAAAAGTTAAGAGTTAATTATTCTTCTTACCCGGTGAAATATGAAAGGTTGTACTATTTTTCGTTTCTTTTTTTAATCGTTTCACCCCCAAGCAAGGCAACAAAGTCACTAAGACGCAATATTGAATGTGAGAGAATGAGGAAAAGAAAACTACTATTAATGAAAGAGAAAATAAAAGAACAGGAATTAAGAAGAAAATGACGATTGGTATTGCATTTAAATTTTTGAAGATCAAACTTAACTGGAAAGTAACTTAGATCTTCCGTGGTAATAAGCAATAATCACATCACCCCCCCTCGCTTGTAACTATAATAAAATAAACGTTTTTCATCTCTATCGCAGAATAAGTTTAAAATGGTTCATAAGCTTCTACTTTTATTTAAATTTTAGTGTTGTTACAATTTCAAAGATTTTAAATGCGATCTCAATCGTTATCCTGTGTAGTTTTCACTTTTTTTTTCTGTTTCGACTTCGAAAAGTGATTTAAATGATTGTTGAACTTTAAATGACAAAAAAAAACTAACTAAATCCAAAGTTATATATCACGTGTAATTAATGGATATTGGATTGAATTTTTCACCAATCACCATCGACGAAAAGAAGAACTGTTTAAATTTTTAACTTAATTTTTTTTTTCAGTCGATAGTGAATTCCAAATAATTTTTTTTCCGAGTTTTACACATGATTTTATTTATCAGCGCCAGGACGACCATCAAAATTTTCTCTTACGTTTGGTCGAGCTATAAAAATATCACAATTGCGTTCGATCGTAGTAAAAAGGTTGATTATCAATACAATAAAAAGAAAAGAAAAAGATTAAATAAAAGAAGAAAAGGACGAGAGATCGATCCTGAATTCCACCTCAACTACTTCTACTGAAACTACAACCATGCTTTTCACAGTTGTAGAGCATTGGGCCCTGGAATGGCTATGATGAGGTTTTCACTCAGTTTTTAAGCTCCAAAAAGAGGACAGTTACCACATGAAAACTTCAAAATGAACGCACTACAACCAGAATTTTTTTTTCTTTTTTTTATCCATATTTAATTAAAGAAGAAGCACGTCAGATCATAATTTTTCTTTTAAATTAAATTTAAAAGTTAATAGTGGAGTCCAGTTTGCTATGTAATTAAGTAAATTCATTCCCCTACGGAAGTTAAAACAATGCTCATACGATGCTATATCTTAAAAATTTTAAAATGTAATAAAATAAAATTTTGAATCTAGATTTTTTTTTTCATATCACTATCGATTAACATTAACAATGAGCACTCCAGATTACGAATTTAATAAAATATTTTTTACAGAAATCACGTATAATGACAATATTTGTTTTGGCTTCCGTAGGGAAATCAAGTTAAATGAATGAATATTGAATAGCAAACTTAACCCTTAACTTTTATAAAATTCAATTATTATTTTATGTGGAGTACCTCATAACAGGAAATTTTTTTAAAAAATGACTATTTCTGGACGAAGTGCCTGTACAACTCCACCGAATGGACCTTTTTGAAGAATTCAGTCTTGTATAGAAAAAAAAATGACTTCACAACCGTCGAGAAGGAATTAGTCTCACAGACGACTCAAATCAAATGATTTTGAATACAAGGAGATATGTGTCGCTTTTTTTTTTTGTCATACTAGGCTCAGTTTTTAAATAACCACTTTAAACTAGGCAATAATTATTCATTCAGGAAAGTTATGGTTCAAATCTGAGATTTAGAGAGAGAACCCCAAACAGGTTTCCCTCCACGCCAGTAAATAAAAAAAAAAAAAAGACATTTAAAAACGTATTGCATCCGGTAAAAATTATTATTTTTTTTATCCTACTCACTATTGTTTCAAAAACAACTAATAATCGTGTGTTAAAACAAATCTCCGAAAAAGTGCATAAACTCTAAAAACATTAAAAAATAAACAATGAGAAAACCACTGCTCGTTCTGGAAAAAAAAAAATACTCTAAAAGACACTGATACACGATCGTAGGGTAAGAAGAGGTCGGTGCAGACGAATGGCTCATGTGCCAAAAACAAACGGGATTTGAAGAGAAAAATAAATAATCAGAGCATGAACAGCTTCCGTAATTCCCCTCACCTTTATATCATGAACCAATTCTTTTTAAATTGGTAGAAACAAGTCATCACACCGGGGATTATTTTTTTTTTTTTTTTTAATATTTTTTTAGTGTCTCTGTGTGTGTGTGTGTGTGCGCGCGCGCGTGCGTACATGCTTTAGCTTTCCTTGTGTGACCCTTTATGGTCAATTTTTTTATTTACCTGAATATAAAAATCATAACTTATCTATCTTAGTTAATATTGTCTCATTTTCATTTTCTAAGTTTCACTAGGGTCTATCTATCTATCTATCTATCTATCTCTTGAGTCTGTTCAGCTGATAGCTACACCAATTTTTCTGTCTATATAGCTACATGGCTTTCTTAGGTTTTAAGCTGTATCTGTCTATGCGAATAGATTTATCATTTCACTTTCAGCCTATCTGAATGGACAGGCTACCCTTCAGCTGTTTTAGGCTATCTATCTATCTATCTATCTACCTATCAATCTGTTTAAGGCTGCATACCTATCTTAGGCTGGGTGTTTGTTTATCTATCTTGTGTGTCTATCTATCTATCTTGGGTTGTGTGTGTCTATCTATCTATCTATCTATCTATCTAAGGTTGTGTGTCTATCTATCTATCTATCTATCTATCTATCTAAGGTTGTGTGTCTATCTATCTATCTATCTATCTTAGGTTGTGTGTCTACCTATCTATCTATCATAGGTTGTGTGTCTACCTATCTATCTATCTATCTTAGGTTGTGTATCTACCTATCTATCTATCTATCTATCTTAGGTTGTGTATCTACCTATCTATCTATCTATCTATCTATCTTAGGTTGTGTATCTACCTATCTATCTATCTATCTATCTAAGGTTGTGTGTCTACCTATCTATCTATCTATCTACCTATCTAAGGTTGTGTGTCTACCTATCTATCTATCTATCTTAGGTTGTGTCTATCTATCTAGCTATCTATCTTAGGTTGTGTCTATCTATCTATCTATCTTGGGTTGTGTGTCTGTCTGTCTATCTAAGGTTGTGTCTGTCTCTGAAGTTGTCTATGTGTCTATGTCTTTGTCTCTCTCTCTATGTATCCAACTATAACCATATTTGTGTCTCTCTATATATCTTTACATACAGATTTATAGTAATATATCTATGTATTTGTCTCTCTCTCTCTCTCTCTCTCTCTCTCTCTTATACTATTTTGTACTACTTCATATGCATCTGTATCTCTAACTACTAAATTTCTTTCTCTATATCTCTAAATCTATATATTTCTCTCTATCTCTTTCTCTATTTGCCTCTATAGTACATCTATATTTGTTTATTGTATGTCTGTCTCTCTATCTGTCTCTTCTTAGTCTCTACTGTCTCTAAATCTCTAGGTATTTGTTTTACATTTGTTTTTGTATATAAAAAAAAAACTTTTTTGCTTTACTTCACAAAGCGATTTGACACATATACAAATCAAGTAAACAAGTACAGTACACTCCAACTTTTTACTTCTTCATATGAGAGGATGCCAATAATGGTTAAAAAAATCTTAAAAGCAACAAGAACCAAAAACAAACTTACCCTGTTGAATTAGTGGCGTCTTTGAATATTCCCCGAGTGATCCAATTCTGGGTGGGTTCCCCTTGGTGGACAGTAAATTTGCCCTGACTATAGGACACATAGTAGTTTTGCTGACCAAAAGCCACCGAATCGGACAAGATCGCCGCAAGTATAAAAAACAGAAGCTGGACAACGTGCTTATTTTTGTCCGTCTTCATCACTTGTGAGGACTTCTGCTTAATTTTCATCATCTTCCCGGACCCGCAATCACCAGAACTGACAAGTAATGCCGCTGACTGTTTCATAATAAAGTACCTGACTAAAACTACAAACAAGAAGGTTCAGGCAGGCGCTTATATATCTATATAGGAGTTTAAATAATCATGTGTAGGCTCTCTCACTGAAGCAATATGAAATCTTGCTTTGTTTGTGTGTGTTTGTTCGTTCGTATATATGTATGTACGTACGTACATGTGTGTGTGTTTGTTTTTGAGGGAGGGAAGCAGTAGTAGTAAAAGTATTAATAAAACTCATTCGGCAATCTTCGGGCTTTTCCGGAACCGCATCGTTACTGGTAAAAGGCAGGTGCGTGATTTAACGCGCAACTTTGTGACAGTTCTCCACAGACTAGAACACAACACACGCGAGAGAAAAAAAAAAGTTATTCTTCCTCGTGTCGTCTTCTTTTTATTATTATTATTCTTAAAGTTGGTTTTACTAACTAAAGTTAAAATTTTACAAGCAAATTTTTGATAAATTTGCCTAGATTTCAGTTTGTTTTACACTGTTAGTGTTATGAAACGGAAATGATGTGTAATTAATTAAATGAAGTCCAAAATTTGTATTTAAAAAAAAAAACAACTAAAATAATAGATGTTCTTTCAAGAGAGTGAAGCTAAAAAAAATAATGTTGGAACAACAGAAAGAAAAAGAATTATTTCTATCCTCTCTCTTTATTTGTCTCTTTATTTCTCCCTCCCTCTCTCTCTCTCTCTCTCTCTCTCTTTTTCTCTCTGTGGGTGTGTATGTGTATGTCTACGCTCGTGTAAATGTGAGATCGTGATAAAAAAAAAAAAAATTTTTCTTTTTTTTTTTTTTTAAAAAAAAAAGTGTATTTTTATGAATCCTTTGAAAACAACCCGCAATATGACTCTATCCAATCCGCAGACTAATTTCTTTTTCAACCGTTGTTACAAGTCGATGTTCGGACTCGGGTTTAATAAAATAATAAAAATAATAGTAATTCGAATAATGCTGATTTTTTAGAAGACACGCCTTCCTTATACCCAGTGATCCACCAATTTAATCATTTACTTAAAACTTAATTTAAAATTTAATACCGATAGCGATCGATAGTCAAATCACTGACATTTGTTGAAAAATTGGAAATTTGAAATATTTTGAATTTTGGTATACTTTCTTTTTTCAAACTAAACGAAACGGGGGATATTTTTTTTCTCTTTATTTTTTTCTCTATTCAAAGTAAAATTCTTACCCATCAGAGTAAAATTAAAATTTCAACTTACACGTCTCCAATAATTTCCCTAAAAAAAATCGTTGCTCTGTGACATTTTTAATTTTTTTTTTTTTAAAAAAACAAAAAAAAACTCTCATTCCTCCGAACTTACAATTAAATTTTCAAACTGCTTTTACGTCCAAATATTCGCTTAAAAAAAGTTATAGAAATAAAAAAAAAACTTAATTTTGTTTTTTGTAACAATTTTTTATACAATTATGAAATTCTTAAATTCAAATTGTTTGTCAAGTGTCACTGTTGTTTTCACTTTCAAAGAAATTAATTAGATGTTTAAATTTTATTTTCTGTTTTTTCAAAGAAAAACGCAAATGCCGCAACAATCTTTTGAGAATTCCAAGCATTTATGGTCTAGTTTTCATTTTATAAACAAATTTTTAAAAATACTTAAAATTACAAAATTAAAAGTAATCATTTTTTCCTGTTGTGCTAAAAAAATCTAAAAATATTTTTATGACCTTTTTTTTTAAAAAAAAAATATTGACATCATTTTTTATTTTTTTACTTGTTGATCAACTACCAAATCAACTGTCAAAATAAGTTATTAACCAACAAAAACACTTACACTTTGTAAATTAAATTTAAGTACATTTTATTTTTATTTAATTTATTAGATTTAGTTTTAAACATTTAGTGGAAAAAAATTCAGAGTAAGCTGACAATCATACACTTTTACAACCAGAATTTTGAACAAGACGAGGTTCTAAAAAATGAATTTCTCACTAATACTTGAATGTTTTGTTTTTTTTAACTCATAACTTTTTTAATGGTAAGATTTGAATGACGCAAGCTTAACAGAAAAAAATAAAAATAAAAATATTTGTAAATTTGCAGATAATGCCCCAGTGACAAAAATTAAAAAAAATATATATCATTCCTAGAGTAAAATCGCCTGATTATTCCAAACATAGCATTAAAAATTGGTGGAAATCGAAATATACCGCGGATGTTAACAATTTAGTTGTGTCGCGGTTACCCTCGATTAGTGCGAGAAAAGTTTACAACCCCCATTGTTATATGTATTTGTATTAGTAGTTGATAGAGGAATCGTTTTTACTGTTTTTATACTGAAAACAAAATGAATGAAATGTACAGTGATATAAGAACAATAAGACTTGAAACACGCGTTGACATTAACAAGAATTTGTATTATTCTTTTTTGTGATATGAATTACAGATATTTATGGTGTATGTTAAAAAAATGTTCCCAGTGTTACTGTCTCTTTTGTTTCTTTAAAAGTTTGTGCTTACTTGTTTTTGTTTGTTCTGAGAATTTTGTTGGTGAGGATAATGTTTGAGATCGTCAGTTTTCGATTTTTCAAAGGGATGATGATATGTGCATGTTGGGCCTTTTTACTACTGCTACTGCCACTTGCTAGTCTAGTCTACTCTACTGACCCTATTGTCCTGACTGCCCGTTGCTTGTGGTGAAGAGTCGTTTTTATAATCAGATTTTAGAATGATGAAATATCTTTCTCATCTTTCATCACTGGTGGCAAAGTTGTTTTTTAGGATGATGAAATTTTTTTTTATCTTTATTTCAGGGATGATGAAATATCCTTATTTTCTATCATCACTGATGGCAAAGTTATTTTTTAGTATGATGAAATATCATCATCGTTCTGCTTCATGACACGCACAGGTCTGGTTCCCTTAAATTTAAAAAAGAAAATCAGCCCTTTCGACATCTGATCATGATGTACTCCCGTTACTCACACTCAAGTCAAGACACAGCTTTCTACATTCAGTTGAACCACTGAACACCAGAGCTCCTTGTCAGCGTCTGTCCCTGTTGTGCAGTCAACAACATGGAACACAGTCTCTGTCTCAGCCGTATAGAATCCCTCCCCTGGCTTTAGTGATGCCTGTTCTTTCTGGTCTTGATTGAATTGCCCCCAAACATCTGTTGGTCTCTGTAGAGCCAACCTTCAGAAATGAGGATATGCCACCGATGCTTATTCCAACTGCCAATTCAGGCAATTACAAACAAGGGAGCATTTTCTAGTTTGCTGCAATCTTGAAGATTCATGCACATTTAACATCCTTGAAATCTTAACACTCTAGGCAAGGCTCTGTGTGCAAAACTGGTGGGTGTATTGTAGCAACTCAATAAGAAGAACTACTCCTGCTCATGAAAAGAGATGTACAGTGCGTCTGTATCTAAGGGGTAGGCAAAACTTTATTATTTTTTTTTTTTTTTAAGGTTAATTTATGATTACTCATGTTTATTTGGTGTTTTATGTACAATGTTTCTTATCAAAATACTATTTTATTTATTTAAATTACATTTTGCTCAAGAATGTGGGTGTCTGGGGTTTTAAAAAGGTCATGGAAGAAAAGAGAGGACATACTTTATTTGGATATGAAAAAACTTCAGAAAAAAAGTTATAACTTTAATTTGTGGATTGGGAAAGATTCATAGAGAAAATAAGTAATATTTCAATTTAAAAATAGGTAATATTTTTAATAAAATTTAATTTTCCTTAACCTATCAATGTAGTGATTATATCCACAATATTAAGCCAAGATTTAACCCCAAGTCTAGCAAGGGTAAATGCTAAGTTCTTGTATTCTCAAATGAACTGGGCAACAACTTTTGAAGAGAAAGAAACAAAACAACCCGCACTATTTAAATATATTTAATATACAAGAGAGAAGGAAAAAAGAAGTGGTTGTAGATATTGTTCATCTGCTCAGGTGAAAGGTATCCAGCTAGCTTCTTTAGTTAGTAGTAATTTCTCTTCAGTTTGATGGTCCCATTTCTCTGTAACTTGATACTACTGACTGAGCTTGTGATGCCTGATTAAAGAAAAAGAGGACAGGGCTTTGAATATGGCCCTTATATAGCCAGGGTTGCATGACTCTTTCAGGGTCAGTGATTGGTCTTTTCTTTAGCCATTCAGCATTTTATTCTGTGATTGATTAGTGTTATTTTCTGATTGATTATTCTAAATTCCAATATTAATGACAACTGTCTTATTTTTTTGATGTTGGACATCAATGGGTTACAATTCATATGGGGTGTCAATGTGTTATAAATCATGTCACATCATGAGTTACAGGTTATGGGACTCATGAAATGATCCATTAGGTTCATAGGGGAACCACATCCATAGAAGCAGTGATGTGACTAGGACAAGATAGCCTGATGGCTTCCAACCCTATTCAAGCTGGTTCTGAATTCAGATTTTTCCTTCTTCTAGACCAAGTCTGCCCTGCTATTTAACCCAAAACTAGGGGAGAAAAGAGATGGATTCATGCCTTTCTTACGGCTATTTATGAAAAAGAGACTATAACATTTCAATTCAAGTCACCAATTTCTCTTTCTGTGTCACAAATCATTATACTACCCAGAACCCTGGATGTGTAGATGGTATAATGGATAGTGGCTCAGAGTGAGAAATCAGAGAACCGAGTTCAAATTCCAGTTGGGTTTGCTACATTCACTTACATGGAAATAGCCTTAGGAAAGGTATGGATTTATCTTCCCCTCCTGCTATAGGTTAAAGGACATATTTTTTTTTTAGAAACAACATTATTATTCTCAAAAAATTGTCAATGTTATATTCACTTGCAAAAAAGAATTATTCCTTCAATCCAAAATGTTTTGGATTTAATTAACCTACAAAGAGTTGATAATCCTTAAAAATAAATAAAATGAAAAGACAAAAATACCTAGAAACCTATAATCAATACTGTTTTTTTTTTAATTTTTATTCTTCATAACACATTTTATATTAGGATTTTATAAGTTAATGAAATAAAATTAATTATTAATTAATAGTAAGGAAATAATATTTTAATGATTTTTTTTTCCTATGATTTATGTGTGAGATTAATCCCAGTCCTGTCTTAATAAAAAGACTCGGCTGTGTATGTATGATTACTTTTTTTTTTACTTCAAGTGAATCCAAGAATCATTAAAATATGAACTAAGGAGACAAATTGGATTTTTTTTCCTCTCTTTTGGTTTACTTAAGAAGAGAGGGAGGGGGGTGAAAAAATGTTCTTCTGAAAATCTGACCAAACAATGTTTTTAAATCCTTTCTTGATAAAAGCCGATTTGTATTAGGTCCTCATATCTGTGGATAAAACAATTGTTGCAGCGTTTTTTTTTCTTTCTGCTCGTGGCAGAATCTAAATAACAAGCCTTACTCTGATGACAAAATAGAGGTGGAAATACAAGAAATCTTACAATATCTCTGCACGTGCTCATAGAAAAGGCAAGCAAAAGGCTTCAATGCCTGAGAATATTCTACTACAACAGAATGGCATTTTTTTGAAATGCATAATTCTAAATACACGCTGTCAGTTCTTTGGTGACTCTTTGATACACTGTTAGTAGTCAGTAGTCATTTTTTTAATGTTTTTTATGGGACTATCTTTATTTTGGTAAGCCATGAAGATGGTTAAATGAGCTGGTTGAAAAGTTTTCAAACCCCAACATCAAAAACAAAGCTATTAAATAAATATCTATTTCACTACCTCTCTAAAAACAGCACTGCAAAATATAGTGGATTTTTAATGAGTTTTCTATCAGCATTTCTCCCAATGGTCAGTCTACCTGATTTTCTGTTTTAAACTGTTGTGATGAGTTTTTTTTTTCATTAGTGCCTCAGCTGCATACATTTTAGCATGCTACTAGATTGGAGTAATGGATAGCGGCTCAGATTGAGGAATCGGTGAGCCAAATTTGAATTCCAGTCGAATCCATTACATTCACTTACGCACTAATAGCCTTGGGAAAGGCATGAATCCTCTTCTTCTCCCCACAGCTATAGATAAATAGCAAGACATACCAGGTTCTACAGCCTTGAATAGTAACAGGGTCTACCACAGAAAGAAAGGGCAACCTGCTGTGGGGAAAAAAAACTACCTCGTCAGTCATGTATCGAAAGATACATGATCGCTTAAGTGTGTATCACGTATAGCACATAACTGACTGACTAGATTAGCAATTAGGTCTCACCATTTTATAATTGTACTAGCTTCTATTTTGACACTTTCTTTTCCTGCACTTCTTGACTGTGGAGCTCCCTTCTGATTTCTTGCTTCCCTGCCAACTACAGTCTTCAAAATTTTAAATGTATCGTTACTGGGCATCTTCTGTCTTTCCGAACCATGTTCCTTATTGTCTCTTCCACAATTCTCCTCACTAAAGTCTACTCTTTCTTTTTCACTCTTTGTCTGCATCCTTGTGGCATTATCACTTTGTTAGGGCTGAAATGACTAAAAAAAAAATATAAGATAAAATAAATAACTGTTTAAAAATGTTGAGCACAAAAATTAGATTGACATAAAAATGAAAGTGATCTTGAACTTAATCTTTCCTTGTCTTTACCCACTAACTGCTGAGATGGACTCTTTTTTTTTTTTCCACACTTGTTGTGAAAGCAAGAAAAAAGGACTAACCATTAATGATAAAAAGATAGAATGTAAGCAAAAGAGGTGTCAGCTACATATTGGGGATGTGAAATGGCTAAAGCAAGAAGAAAGGACTAACTATTAACTAGAAAAAGATAGAATGTAAAGCCATCAGCAAAAGAGACAGCCCAATGTGTGAGCTACATATTGGAGATGTTACATTGCTGAGGTGGCTGCAATAATGTGAAAGTAAGAAGAAAAAACTAACCATTAACTATAGAAAAATAGAATGTAAGGTCATCAGCAAAAGAGACTGTGCTTCAAATTGGATACGTCAAAGTCAAACAGTTACAAATATTTAACTGTCTGGGTAGTGTAGTATTAAATGACAGAAAATGTGATACGGAAATCCAAAGGTTCACTAGAATAGTAAAAAAAGCCTTCCAAAATATAAATAAAGTATTTACATATAGGATTATTTTGTTTGCAACAAAGAAAAAAGTGTTAAATCTGTTATGTCATACCTATTCTGTGTGACAGTGAATGCTGGATAATTTCCTGACAGATGAAGAAGAGACTCAAAGTGATGGAGATGTTGTTTGGCTGCTGAGAATATCATGGATTGAGCATGTGAGCCACAAGGAAGTTGTAAAAAAATGTGAACAAGAGGGCAACTGGTAGTTAAAATTGGAAAGATTGAAATATCTGGGAAGCATTATGAGGAAGGTAGGTTCGGAAATATAGTACTCACAAGATGTATTGAGAGAAGGACAAGTAGGTTACCTGAGTTTATGGGAATAAATGGCAGAACACCGATGGTAAGAAGACAAACGTTGTTTATTCCTTAGCTGCACCAGTTCTGATATTCATGACTAAAATCTGCCATGCTGCATACATTGTGTTCAGCCAGTAGCAGACCTATATTTTTGAACCCCTGAATCTTGAACAAATATGAGAGCCCTTTTGCAACTAGCAATAATAGATTTGAGGATCCAACTGCCAAAATTTAGGCTATGAATAGATTCTGGTGAGCTCAACAGGCTCATACAGTTGGGGGTTCAGGTTCTGTAAACTCCCAAGAAAATTCAGAAATTTGACCAATAACAGGGGAATTTTGAGGGCCAAATGAAATAGGTATTAGAGCATATTCTATGGCCAACATTAGCTACTTTAACCGATTGGCTTATGATTCTACCACTAAAATGGTCTTATTTTAATAATAAACAGAAAGTTTCTTCAGGGGACCCTCTGGGATTAGGGTCCCGGAAGATTAAGCTTTATTAGTTTCATAGTAGATCCTGAGATCACTGAGTTGAACACTCCCCATTTCCTTCTTTCCATGAACTGCTATTTTGTGGAACCAAATGCCATGAGGATACTTTTTCTTGACCACTATAATCTTAGTCTCTTCAAATCTAGGGTAAATCATTAGCTTCCCCACATATTCTCATAAACAGTACTTCTTACCTCTTATTCTTACTGCTCATAAAACAACCTTCTTCAATAAGCCCCTTTCTTGAGTGGCTCTTGGGCTTTGTATAGGGCGATCATTAGTTGAAAAAAAAAATTACAAATGACAAATGAAAATGATAAGTTGAAGAGAGCCATGATCACACACATCCTGAAGGGAGATTGTACATAAATGATGGTGAGTTTCAGGGACAGATCCAGCATTTTGAGTTAGAGAGGGTGTGTTCCTCAGTAAAAATCTCAATTCAAAATTTAAATTCTGTGATCATATATATTAGGTTATGAGTAGAGAGTATTCATATATATATATATATATATATATATATATATATATATATATATATATATATATAAACAGGTTAATTGTCAAATGGTTAATAATATTGTCAAGAAATTTAATGAAGAAGGCAATCATCGTGTCTGAGTAAACGAAAAGGGCACTGAAGATGGAAGTCATCAGAAACCATTGTCAAAGTTGTCAACAGCATGGAAATGTTGCCATATGCAGCGAGAATGACTCTGAAAGTGCTTGGCTATCAAAGAAGAGTTGCAAGAAAGAAGCCTTTGATTTCAGAGGTTAACAGGAACCTTTGTATGGACTGGATGAGAGAATCTGAGAGCAAAGATTATGAATTTTGGCAGTCTGTTTATTTGGTCAAATGAAAGTAAATTCTGCCAATATTCGAATTCAAGAGAGGTTTATGTTTGGAGAAATCCGAATGAGATTTGGAACCCTGAATTTCTGCAGGCAGCCGTGAAATATGCAAGGATTGGAGTAATGTTGTGGGGCGCTGTTTTGTTTGAAGTAAAATCTGAGCTGATTCTTGTTGACAAGCAGTTGAATGGTCCAAAATACTGTCAAATATTAGAGAAAGGACGACTCCCACTGTTAGAAACCAATCAGATTGACAAGAATGTCTACATTTTTCAAGAAAATGGAGCACCATGTCATATGGGCTAAATAGCAAAGGTCTGGAAGGAATCGCAAGGAATCAAGTTACTGCGATGGGTAGCCCAAAATTCTGACATGGATCCAATAGAGCATGTTTGGGAGCACCTTCACTGAAAACTTTGAGAGCGTGCAACCAAAATCACATCAGTGGAAACCCTTAAAGAAACATTGCTAAAGGAGTGGCAAAATATGGATCAGACGATTGTTGATAACTTTATCAAATCCATGAAAAATCAAATACAAGCACTGAAACTAGCAAATGGAAGACCTACTCCATACTAGTTCCAAATACTGTTTATTTATGTTGAGTTGGGTTTACGTAATTAAATTTTGAAATTGGATGTAGTTTATTTCTTCTGGCTAAAAACTTTTCTTAAGCCACTGTACAGTAATCCAAAGCACATGTACTAGATTTATTTTATTCACTTTTATTTATGTTGTCACACATTGAGAAGGTCTGTATGAACACCATTATTTTTGTGGCATAAAACGATATGGCACCATGAACTGCATGATATTTCACAAAGTTGTGCTTTGTTGATTGTTGCAAAGGCTCTCCGAATGATGTCCTTCAACTGATGTGTATTCTGGTATCATTCACATTAAACTCTCTCCTTGATAATACCCCACAGAGTGTTGAAATAGAAAATTATATTATGTAGTGGATGACAAGTCTTTCGGACCACCCTGTAAATTGAATATTCAATATCATAATGTTGGAAATAAAGTGAAGGTCCAGTTTAATATTATATGCACATTGTAAATCAACCCCTAACTTCAAACACACAATTATAAATAGTGCTACAGATACACATGCAATATTTTCCTGTTTTTTCTCTTTACCTTTATGTCGTAATAAGTACAAAAAGCAAATAGAAAACTGCCATCAATATGAAAAGAGTGATAACAGGTACTGGATTTGAGAAACCTATTTTCCTGAAAAATTGTTTTAAGAGAAAGATTTTATAAATTTTAAACGAAAGCAGTAATGGATGTCAAATGTTTACTTATATGGTAACAAAGCATTACCATTACCAATGTCATTTTATTATTATTATTATTTTCTTTCACTTTCTTTTTAGTTCATAGCAGGTCATTACTCATGCCCTAGGGCAGTGATTCCCAAACGGTGCAATGCGCCTCATAAGAGGATAGCAGGTGAGGCAGAAGGATTGAAAGACAAAGATTTAGAAACAGTTTTAAAAATTCTTATGCCAAAAATAAATATATCAAAATTCAAAATATTGTTATCGATTACTTGTAATTGCATGCATGAGTCCCAGTATAAATAGTTAAAAATAATATTGACCAATTTTATCACTGTGATATTTTTGCATTATATCAAGCATTAAGAATATAGTAACTATGGTTTGCAAACAGGAGGAGAGAGTTATCAATGATAATGTTCTGACTTCGAATCCAGGGTTATCTCCCTTAACCTCTCTCTCTGTCTCTCTCTCTGTCTCTCTCTCTCTCTCTACTCTCTCTGGATGTTCTTTGCTGTAGGGCTGCTTGCGCCTTTTCTTCGAGACTTCCTGTTGATGAGGTGTGAACAAATTTTACTTCTGAAAATGCATCCCAAAGAAAAAAATGTTTGGAAACCACTACCCCAGGGTAAAGAAGGGGTGTAATTAATATGCCTTCTGTTTGCATAATTTCTGATGTTAAGTGATATTTAGCATGTACAATGTTTATATTTTCTTCACATTGATAATACTTTCTTGAAAGAATGGGCTGTTCTACAAAGTGTCCTTTTTTTTTTTTAAATTTCTTGTAAGCTGCCAGGGATTTTGTTAAGGTTCTTGTCCATGCCTTTTTTTCATCCTACCCAGGGCTCCAATTATCATCACATGGCACCTTATAATAGGAGTTTTAAAGTGTCACTTCTTTTTTTTTTTCAAATTCAATTTCAAGCTCCTTAATTTTTATTTATTTTGTCATGTTCAGATATGTTTTTATGTGATGACAATGCCACATCTCTGAAAGGGTATTTCTACTTCTTCTTCTTCTTCATCTTCTTCTTCTTTTTCTATATTATGTGTTAAATTAATCAAACATTCTTTGCATTATTCAATTCAAAGAAAATGAGGTAGGGAGCCTCGCAATGTTCTGAATTCATAATGGTGAACCATGAAAAGAATTAACTGCATTTTGTTTTCAAAGGATCCTTTCATCAAGAAATGCAGATAATTCAATGAAAACCAGAATGCATAAAATAAAATAAAATAAAAATATATAAAAACTATAATGACCATCATATTTACTTAATTACAGACATGCATAAAGATGAATACAAAGTCAGGGTCTAGTTTATCAGTATGATTGAGTGATTCGTTTTTTAAGGTGTATCAACCCTTTGCAGGTTATTTAAAGCCATAAAATATTTTTATATTGTAAGGACTTCTTTTGAGATAATAATGGTTTAGTGATACAAGTCTTACTAATTAACCCATAGTGGGAGGAGTGGATTCATACCTTTCCAAAGGGCTTTAGCAGTATGTTTTTATTGTAAATTAAATCTTTAATATTATATTGGATACAAAGTTATGGTTCAGTTTGACATGTTAAGCACATTGTAAATTGAACCCTCATTTAGAACCAGTCTGAGTCCACTTTAAAATGCAAATTTCCTCAGAATGAAAAAGTTCCCCCAAAATAAAAGTCATTTCCATAAAGGTGAGATCAAACTACAGCAAACATAACCTTCATTATGATTAGCAAATATTGTTTTCACTTAACCCTAGGACACTAACCATGGGTATATAGTACCCAGCACAAATTTTCCTATTTTTAATTACAATTTTCAGTACCTGATTTTCTTACCTAAATAATGTTTTTCAGTTCCTATTAATGTTAACTCAAAGTACAAAGTTTGAAGTACCTGCATGTAAAATATTTCAAATAAAGATTTATATTTGATATTTTTTTTTTATATTTTCAAAATCGGATATCATATACCCATGGTTAGTAGTGGTGTAACTTTAATTGATGGTTAGTGTTCTAGGGTTAAAAACAATATCACCTAACCGTTACAAATTAATACAGAATATTAAAAAATTTAAAGCTTTATAAATTATTATAATTAAAATGTTGGCACACATAGATCATGCCCAAGAAAAATGGAGTGTCAAAAGGACAGTCTTTCCCTTGACACTGCTATTATTATTTTAACTACCTTCACTCCTCAGCAATGTTTATTCTTTTAAAAAGTGATCATTAGAATTGCAATAAAACCTAAACATATGAAAGTGAATTTATACCTTTTTTTTGTTTTTGAGGATTGACAATAATAATAATAATAAACACTATTTATTTAATAGATTGTTTATTTACAGAATTTATTTATTACATTGAAATGGTTGTCAATTGTCAGCTAATTGTCAACTGATTCCAACTTTATAAAATGGTAAATAATAAAGATTGTCTTTGTATTTGGTTCACATATTTTAATACTTTAGTAAATGTTTATAAATTTATAAATAAAAAATCGTTTTCTCATTTATTTCTTCTATAAATTGGTAAATGATAAATATTGCACTGAATTAGTGGATCCATGTTTTTAGAATGTTACAGGCCAGCAAATGTTAATACTGTTTATTATAAACAGAGCATTTACTTAAATATTTGTATCTGTAAAAATAATGTATATAGAATGAATATATTAAAATATTGCAAATATAAAATTATTCTTGTAAATAAACAATGTTATAAATAAATAATGTTTAATATTTTTGTTGTAAATTCTCAAGAACAAAAAAAAGTATAAATTCAATTTCATCATGTTATTCCAATTTTAATCATCATTTTTTAAAACAATAAACATTGCTGAGAAGTAAAGGTTGTTAAGATAATTGTGGTGTCATGGGAAAAATCTGTCCTTTTGACATCCTGTTATTTTTGTGGGTATGAAGGTCCATATTTGCCCAAACTACATTGGAAAAATACATTTTCATAGCTTAATGTATACTTTACAAAAGGTTTTAGTTTAGTTTATAGTGATTGAACGATGTGACTATGGTGTGACTGAAAGAGATGACTGGGATGTTTCTGAAGAATGTGACAAGGATATGACTGAAGGATGGGACAACGATGTGACTGGGATGTTTCTGAAGAATGTGACTGTAGGATGTGACTGGGATGTGTCTGAAGGATGTTACTGAAGGATGTGACTGGGATGTTTCTGAAGGATGTGACAAGGATATGACTGAAGGATGGGACAAGGATATGACTGAAGGATGGGACAACAATGTGACTGGGATGTTTCTGAAGAATGTGGGATGTGTCTGTGAAGGATGTGACTGGGATGTTTCTGAAGGATGTGACAAGGATTACTGAAGGATGGGATGACTGGGATGTTTCTGAAGGATGTGACAAGGATGGGATGACTGAAGGATGGGACAACAATGTGACTGGGATGTTTCTGAAGAATGTGACTGTGAAGGATGGGACAATGGGATGGGATGTTTCTGAAGGATGTTACTGAAGGATGTGACTGGGATGATTTACTGAAGGATGACTGGGATGTTTCTGAAGGATGTGACTGAAGGATGAAGGATGGGACAACGATGTGACTGGGATGTTTCTGAAGAATGTGACTGTAGGATGACTGGGATGTGTCTGAAGGATGTTACAGAAGGATGTGACTGGGATATTTCTGAAGGATGTGACTAGCATGTTACTGAAGGATGTAACTAGGATGTGACTGACGGATGTGTCTAGAATGTGTTTAAGGATGTGTCTAGATCAATGGTTCCCAGATGATGCCTCATAGATGTGGCAGAAGAGGATAGCATGTGAGGCAGAATGATTGGAAGACAATCAAAGATTTAGAAACAACTTCAAAAAATTCATATGCCAAAAATAAATATGATTTCAAAATTTAAAATATTATTATGGATTACTTGTAATTGCATGCATGAGTCCCAGTGTAAATAGTTATAAATAATTATTGACCAGTTTTATCATTGTGATATTTTTGCATTATATCAAGTATTAAAAATTAGGGTCTGTAAATTGGAGGAGAGAGTTATCAATGATGATGTTCTAACGTCAAATCTGTGGTTATCTTCCTTTAACCCTTTCTCTGTTTTTATTTTTAAATGTAATTTTTATTACATAAAATTCAGTGAGGCCTGAGCAAATTTTCATTCCCGAAAAATTTTGGGAACCACTGGTTTATATCTGAGGTTGTTGCATTCACTTTCACACTATTATTATTGATAGAAGGTGCAGTGTTGTAGATGAGATGAAGGATCTAGGATGTAGGATTAAACAGATGAAAAATTGTGGTGACAATGCCAAGCAAAACAGAAATGATGATATCAGTTGTCCAAATTGTCATTGGAGTGATAATGACTTTTTTTTAAATTACAGAAGGCTTCTTTTGTACATTGAATGAAGTCTGTAGAATGGATTGGCTGAAAGATTTTGATAACAATATTAGCAGTTATTTGAAGAAATTCTGAAATGATAATGGCTCTTCTCAAAATTAGAAACAAATATTTAGAAGATTAAAATTTTTGGCCACTGAAAGAAACAAAGAGAAAAAGAGAATCTATTTTCCAATTTCTTTTTTTTTTAAATTTAAAATTTTTTCTTTTACATTTATTTTAATTGTAATAAATAAATAAATAAATAAAAAAGGAAAATATTTAAATAGCCCACACTTTACTAAAAATGGACAAAAAAAAACTGACAAGAGACAGTGATGTGTCGATTTTTTTTTATTTCTTTGCTAATTAAAATATAAGTGATGCAGCTGACGGCTTTTCTTTACAGGAAAATTCTTTTTTAAAAGTTTTGACAGCACTAACAGTATTTATATCATCCCCAGAATAAATATGAAAAAAGCCTGACAGACTAATTTAATGAGAACAGAAATTAAACGAACTTATTCTTTGCCATGACGAAAGAACCAATGGATGAACAGACAGTCTTCTTTGTAGAAACTAAGGATATTGTATAATTAATGTCATAAAGAGTTATGACAAAAGAAATAAACCACATTAAATAAAATATCTTTCCCCAGGAAAAAAGTGTATATAAAATATTTAATTTTTTTTTTTAATCTTTTCACTCCAAAAAGATGACGATGTCACTAAGGTAAAAGTGGCTACTAAGAGTGAAAGACAATGAGATGACTAGGGAGAAGAAAGGACAATAAAAGAACAGGGTTCAGGAAGACAGAAGATGCTGATTGGCATCGCATTTAAATTTTTGAGGTTTATCAGTAGCAGGGAAGCAAAAAATCAGAAGAGAATTCCACAGGTGAGAAAAGAAACTTATTCAAAGAATGGCCACAAAACTTTTGGCCTATACTGTATCCATTGATATGTAATTGACCCCTTTGATATGGAACTGATGCAATACTTTGTTGAATAAACTGATGAGTAGGTTTCAACATTGATATGACAGTTGAATTGTAGCAACAAATATGTATTGTAAGGTACTACCCACCGATTGATGATTTCTTGTTTAACTTGACATTCATATTATTTCATTT